GATCTTGAAATCTGATTGGATTGCGCCACAAAAATTTCACGTGACTGCAAATTTTTTATGGCAATACTGGGGAAGATGCTTTAGACGACCCCCAGTTGGGGTAGATCAATGAATAGTTTGATGAGTAACTGCCAGAGTAGATTAATAACTGGGATTGATAATAAGAGCAATTCTATCCAATATAGAGAAGCATAGATGAGTGTGGTGATAACTGCATTGCAAGAATACAGGGCTAATTGTAGCGGCCGGGGTTTATTGGATTTAGGGTAATAGAATATGTTATACCAAAAATCTGGATTATTACGAAGATTATATACAAACGCATAACTATCGCAGCACCCTCCAACAGGACTTTGTTGCACTTTTTCTATGAAGCGACCAGTCTCCGGAACATGTTTCTGGAGGTTGTCTTTTATAGGATCAAGAGTAATAAGATTAACGCGTAGATTTGTTAATTCCTGCTCATTGTTACTGTCAAAGTACCAGTTTTGCAGATAGATAAATTTCTCTGTGATCATTTTTGTGGGTTTGAATGTGGGATCAGGAAAGAGAGTGATTAAAGTTGGTTGATATTTGTAAATTTGTCGTGGTAATTGCTGAAAAAACCAGGTTAAACTAAAGTTGGTAAATCAAATAATATTGTTTCATTTTTAAGGAATTTTTGATAATATAGCTCATACTTATTTAGGTCTTCCTCTCTTATTTTTAACTGGATTGTCATAACGTTGTAATAAGTAGGGAATTTAAAATTCCTCATGAACTCCCAAAATTCTTTTTCTCTGGCCTTCATTGTCGGATTTTTTCTACCTGGACCTGTAAAAACCATTTATTGTTCTTTGAGAATTTTTGGTCTGTGATTAAAGCCATTTTAGGGGGCTTTACATGATAAAATCTAGCTAAATTAATGACATCCTCGATGTATTCATTGGCAAACAGACGGTAAAGGTCTGGTTGCAAAGCAGTGTTATAGGTTTGGCCTATACCTCGCATAATTGCCGCATGAATATACTGGCGATTCTTAACTGAACCTTGGTAGTATCTATATGAAACTCGCCGTTGTAAAGTGGATGAAGGATCGTGATACACTAATAATTCAGGCTAAGGTTAGCAGGGAGTTTACTAGCTTTCTGATGCTGATCGTGCCAGAGTTGATATTGGCGGTGAATTTCAGGGTGTTTTTGCTTATTATTTCTATAAACCTTATTTCCCAGATACTGTATAGCCTCAATATCCCTTTTGAATTCCATTTCTAGATCCATTCCGAATTCTTTAAATGCGTCTACGAATCATGCAACGTTGAGCTGATTTCGTTTAATGCGACATGCCCACATTGAGTCATACGTAAGTCCCATAGAATATCTTTAAGTAATTTTAATTTAATTTGCCAGGTAAGAACACAAAAATTTTTTCTTAAAAACTTGCGAAGACATCCATTATTAGCATATTGAAATACCATCAAGTATTCATTTTGACCCGCTTGTGAACGAAGTCACAAGGCGGGACATTATTGTGAGTCACGGGT